AGGATTGGGAAACTCTTCAAAGGCGCATACCTTTTTCCAGAAAAAATATCTCGCCACGCGATGTATTGAAATGCATTTACAGTTATGTCGCGAAATGCTTTGAAATACATTTCGCGACGCTCATGCATTGAATTTCGAGGGCGCGGAAATGCATTTCAATACATATTTTCGCTACGTGAATAACCCCATAACAGTTCGATTCTGTCCGCGTTCTGTTCTGGTACGTGTGCGATAAAAGGACTGTTCTGAATTGAATCTGTTCGATTTTAGGTCTGTTCGATTTTGAAAACGTTCGAATTCGTCGTACCCCCAAAAAAATTATTTCCGGAATATGAAACAAAAAATTACAGTTTTCCACTGAGTCCGCAAACACGCAGAATAATTCTGACAATACTGTAGACCGACATTAAATAAATCTCATGGGATTCTAGATTACCCTTTTTTAACAAACTGAAACAAGTTTGGTTTTCACAGTTCTTCAAGAAAGACGGCAAATTACAAGCAATATTTGAACCAGTGCTTTCATGTTTGTGTAGTGAAGGACAAATAGTTAACCGAGAGAATTCTAAAGACAAGAAACTACCGATTTTTTAACTGTTACTCAGAAAGAATGACCGAAAAAATTGGAGAAAAGAAGAAAAAAGAAAAATGTTGGGTCAGTAGCCAGTTGAAGGAAAAAAGATTCGGTTGAGAAGAGGGACCGATAGTTGAGAGGGAAAGCGACCACAAACCGAGAAACAAAACGAAATAGTGTATTGAAATGGTTATACGCAGACATGAGCGAGTCTAGTGCACCAACAAACAACAACACATTTTCGGCTTCCGACCTTTTATAGGACCATTTTCTAAGAACCCATGACAACTGACAAATCGATATTCCAGAAAGATTTTATAAAAAACAAATTGATATTGAAGCAAATGAACATGAAAGCAACAGAATCAAGTATTACACAAACAACAGGAGAGACCCCAGAGAAGAAGAAGAGAGTTAGAAATAAAAATTGTGTAGAGACCCAGATGTTCAAAAAAGATGCCAATGACAACAATTTACGAATAGAAAACAAAGGTGAAAAGGAAAGCGTCGAGAGTGAAATATTTATTGGGTTACATGAAGCGGTTCGGATTTTGTTGACGTACTGTAGTTTATGAGATAGGTCAGGGGTATTCTTCTGGTACAAAAAATCGGAGCTGTGGCCCCTCTTCAGGAAGAGAAAAGCTTTTGGGGTTGACCAACGGTCCCCGTAACGAAAACCACCGTAATCTGAAAATTTTCAGTTCTTTTTTCTCGACTAATATTGCATGCCAACAACTTTTGGATTGAAAACCCCGAAATAAGTCGGAAAATAAATTTTTCCTTATATATCTGAAACATTGCTGGAAAATGGACAAAAATCGAGAAAAATGTAGGAAAGTAAAACTGATAATAACGGCTGTGGCTGCGGCCACCAGGTTTTCTCTTCCACAGATCCGAGTTTTGCATATCAGCATAATGCCGTAGGTGTTATTATGATCAGCTCCATTTGGGTCAGGCACACAGGTTAGACGATTTCAGAACGGATACTTTAGCGTGTTCTATCTCAACATATAGTTTTTTTCGCCCTGTTTTCCATCAGAGATCTCGAGAACCGATAAAAGTCGCTGTGGATAGTTTTGCCCATCAGACTCTAAATTTTCTATTAACGAGAAGTTTGAAAGCATCTGAGCAACATTGTGATGAGCAAGGCTGAAACAGATCTCACCAAAGTGGTTTTCAATCCATCGAAGTCGTTCACATTTCAACCTGTGGCCAGGAAACAACAAGCAACACTGGAGATCACTAACAATTCGACGAGCTCAGTTTTAGTCAAATTCAAGAACACTAATCCGGATCTTCTTATGACGGTCCCCAAGACGGCGAGTATTAGAATTGGAGAGAAGAAAGTTTTCAAGTGCACCTTCAAAGGAGCTCCAAAAGAAAAGTGTCGTCCAAAAGAAAGGTTTTGAAATACATTGTTTTTCAAAATTCATAATATTGAGATTCAGATTCACCGTTGTTTTGGTAGCTGCTTCTGAAAACGCGGACATCGCAAAAGTGAAAGGGAAAGCACACAAAACTGCGTGCTTGAAGCATTTGATCCAGATCATATTCGTTGGAGTCAACGATCAGAAAGAGAAAGATACTCAACAACCGACAAATGTGGAAGACGATGAGGATAAGGATCGTCAGGGACAGATGCGTGCAAAGAGCAAGGTTGAGCCCACTCCCAAGGTCAAGAAGGTAGTTTGCAGTTGACATTCTAAAGATCTCAAAAAATTGAATTTGAGGCAAACTTGATATTCCTCACGAGACCAGAGGAGGAATCAATTTCGGATGAAGATGAAGAGAATGGTGGAACTGTTCCAGCTGGACCACCTCCAGGAGATGATATGATGACAACTCGTCCTGCTGGAACTTTCACTGGTCAAGTAGCTCCCAACCCAAACGCTGCTGAAAATCCAAAAAGTGACCTTCGTACAACTCGTCCTGCTGGGGCATTCACTGGACAGATAGCTTCTAATCCCGAGGCTGCTGGAGGTGCTCCAGTCTCAAAAAGTGAAATGAAAACCACTCGTCCAGCTGGAACATTCACTGGTCAAACTGCTTCGAATCCCACTCCTGGAGCACCTGAAGATCCAAAAAGTACAGGAATGCAGACGACTCGTGCTGCTGGAGCGTACAATGGCCAGGTTACTCCAAATCCGACACCTGGAAAGAATCAGGATTTAAAGACTACTAAAAACGCTGGAGCTTACGACAATCCACAGAAGAGCAATAAGTGAACCTCACAGCTATTGATTATAGACGAATGAATTATTTAACCTATGAAAATTTTTATTAGAAAACAGTTTGATCAAAAATTTCCTGATCCAAAACATAGTGTCTGTCCCTCTTCCAATTGATACAGCTCCCCATAATTTTCTAGTATTTCCACAATTCTTGCAGAACTTTCTCTCCAATCAGAAATGAATGCATATTCAAAGTCTCGACAGAATTGAAGATGATTTGATGGATCGTGTTGACTCATTTTCACAAACGATCCAATATGAGCTACAGTTCCAATCTGAAATTAATGTTATGCTATAAAATAAAATTACCCAAAACACTCTGATAGGCCACCCAAACCACTAACTTTGAGCCCATATATCTCGGTTCCTATAAAAGATATAAAATAGATGTCAACTGACAAAATTCTTACAAAAATATTAAAAACCAGCAAGCTGGTGCGTCTTTGGCGCGATTTAACCTAGTTTTTACTGATTGGTCGCTCAGTTCTTTACTTTTTCTTTAAGGGTCACGTAAATCCATATATATTTCTCAAGTTTTTCAAAAGTCGACAGAGTGACACCGGGACAGACAGAGTAGCGTTTTATATATAAGGAAGATAGTTGGTCAGTTGACCATTTTTTTAATATCTTCTACAAGAACCGAGATATGTAGGCTCAAAGTTGACGGTTTCAGTTTCCTTCTATTAGAGTGTTTACGGTATTCAACTCACCAATGTGCGCCTTCCATCAATGAAGCAGTAAACAGGACTTCCAGAATCACCCTGAATACATTTTTGTTTTCGATTTTAAAATTTCTAGACACTTCATACCATGCATGCTCTGCTACTACCAACTATTCCTTTTGCCATCAGATATTTTTTATTTCCAATTCTTCGAACAACAAGTTTCACCATCATCTGTAGAACTGAATCGCTATGAGATGCTGCTGAAAAATTGAAGATATTCTCATAGAAATAGTTTTTGACCTACTTTTATTCTCCGTTTTTCCCCAACCAGCAATCCAACAAATTGAGTTTTCCAGTTGAAAGTTGGATGGAATTTTTGGCGTTTCTTTCTGAATTGCTCATGAATTTCTAGACACAACTGTATTTTCATAGCTTACAAAATTAATAGACACTGTGGTTGGAAGTCGTGCGATTTGTGATGAAACTGGTGACTCACAAACGTTTGTTCTTTTAGGAAGAAACACAATTGCCACATCATCATTTGCTTCGGGAATCTGAATTTAGCAAACAATTGAATTGGTGCATATTTTGTACATGAATAGTGTCATCGACCTTAAAGAGCAAATAAATAGTGACACTCCTCAGTGTCTACATTATTAATCACTTTTTAACAGTATTCTCCTGCTTTTGATCGTTATCATGGTCAACATAAATTTCTGGAACCTACCCCACTTCCGAACTTTTTACTAATCGCCATAGCATGACTTCTGAACTCCTGCTCCCCATCGTCTTCTTCACTTAAACTGACGTCACCTAGAGTAACTTTGGCAGTGATTGCGCTGAAAAACATAATGATGAAACTATTTGAGCCCCCATTTTTCCTTACAATTCGTTGTTCAGAAATACACAGTGTGCAGCAGTCATTGCAATACTTGGAGCAATAAGGACTCCCCCACAAACATTTGTGTAACCGTCTGGGAAACGAGTGATAACCGAAACCAGTGAAAGTGTATCTGAGAATGGAATTTGATTGAATCATTAAAAAATTATTCACCTAGTGAATTGGCTCTGAATCCATCGATTATTGCGAATACAACCTGGAAAAAGGGAGAAAAGAAAAGAAATAGAAACAATACTTTCATGTTGAATCAGTAAAACAAAATCTTTCAGGATATATACCAAAATCTATGTTGTTGTAGGAGATTATGTTTAGAATCAACATTTCCTATTTCCTCTAATAGAAGCCCACTCAACTTTGATCTCAATCATCTCGATTCCTGTTAAAGATTGCAAGAAATTGTCAATTGATAAAATGTTGGTGATATTGTGATAATAATTTATAAGTTGATAAATTTTTGATACCTTTCACAGGAAGCAAGATAATTGAGGTCCAAGTTGACGGTTTGAGTGGACTTCCATTAGAGGAAATGCGGTATCACTTGGTATTTTGAAACATCTTTCAAAACCTTCGATTAGCCATGAAAAAAGGCGTTGGCTAAAAATGCTAAGTGTAAATGCTGCTGATCGGTCATTGGTTGAAGACTTATGCACATTTTCAATTTCCTGTCTTACCTAAATTGATCAAATCTTTTTAATTCTGTGTGCCCCTCCTGCGTATGTGGTACTGTAAGGACATTTTTCCTCAGTTCAACTGATAAGAGACGATGAGTCTCTAGGTCTCGCAATCACACAACGCTTCTCATAAACCTCCTCTCTCATTTACTCTCTTCCAGAAACATAAAATTCAATTTGTATTGAAGTCTTCTCGAAGATTCAATTCCTCAACTTTTCTCACATCATTAATTTTGATTTCGTATACTTTTCAGACACGAAAATGCAAATCAATCTTGTTTGGTTTTTGCTATCACCTCTTTTCATTGAAGTCGAATCACCTGAATATAGAGGATGCGCTGAATTCCAGAACGAATTCGAATACTGTGAAAAAAAGCGTGATCAATGTCTGTCGGAAACAATTGAAACTGTGGATTGTGATGAAAAAAGGGAAAAATGTTTCAAGGTACAATTTTCAAATGTTGACGTCAACTTGTATTATCAAAAAGCATAACTTACTTTATGTACCTAAAACTTTTGTTATCTGAAAGCTTGTCGACGGACCGTTGATTCAAAATTGGAACAACATACCAAATGATAGAGATCGACGAGCTCTACAACCTTCAATATGTAATACCGCTTTCGAAGTTTTCGATTCTTATCGAAGGTTGTGGAGCTCTAGAAATCAAGCTTCTGAAATTCTATGTTGCGCACAATTTTTGTTTTGAAGCGAGTTATCAGCCGGTCCGTGCCGGCCTGAAGTCGGCCCGTCGACTAGTATATCTGAAAGAGTTTTTCAGGAAAATGTTGGAGACTCGAATTGCACTATTGAGTACGAGAGCAATCGAAGAAAACGGAAACAAGAAAACATGGAAAATACTCAAATACCGCCGATGAAAACTCTGAACTTGTTACTGAAAAACCTGAGGAACCCAATAAATGACGTAGTAAAAAACTGCTCCAATGGTAATAACTTTTTTGGTCTCAAAATTAAAGTATTTGATATTTATACAGAAGACGACTTTGAAAATCAGAAACAACTATTGCAGAAGGAAATGGATCTAGTGAATTCAGTCGACTTTAGTGAATTCAGTCGACTAAAGATGCCAGTAAGATTCATTTATTTGTGAAATATAGATCAATAAGTTTTACAGACTGCAATTATTTTCAATGCGCTCATTCGTAACCAAAGCATCTCCGAAACATGTAAACAGTCGTTGAAAGAATTCGAAAAAAAATTAGCAATCCTTGACAGCGCAGCCTTTTCGATAATTCCCATCCCATTTGCTCATTGGCATTGCGGATGGGCGTATGGCGATGTTGGACGAGTGAATTTGAGATTATACGCTAGTATTGCTACACGCAACTTTGCAATGAACTTCAACCATGTCTGTGCAATTCAACGGGACTGTTATATGAACAGAAAAAAAAGAAAGACATGTGACCAGATGTTCAAGAACTCTATACATGTATCATTTATTTTGTGACTAATAGAATCTGGATAATTTTTGCAGGGAATAGTCAACTCACTGAAAAGAAACAAGAAAGGTGCAGAAGAGTTCAAAGAAATCCTGATGGAGCTGAGTGACTGGAAAAGTGAATATGCGTATTCCATAGCAAATCTCACAGGTTTTTATTTAGATGTATTATCTAGAGAGTGTTATTAAACCTCCTTTCAGAATCCAGTTATAGCACATACTCCGAAAATAGTGAAGGAGCATTTACCAACTTTAACTACTACTATCCAATGAACAGTAAGATGATTTTGGGAAGAGGTAATTACAAGTGAAAATATAAATTTCAGAAACCGCTGTAGTTTTTCTGGAACTTAAGGAACAGCCTAAGATCAAAACAAACCTGGACAATCTTTACCCTTGTTGCAAATTCCATAGAAGTGGGTTACTTTTTTTTTGAATCCGCTTTTGATGATATGTTGGTTTCAGTTGAAGTTTCGTCATGTTTGAATAACTATATGAATTCATACGAGGACATATCTAAATGCCTCTCAAATATTGTGACGCAAGATAAAAAATGCCTCAGTCAACTTCAAAAAGCGAAGAGAGTTCTTGAAAGAAACGAAGAAAATCAAACGCCATGGTACTACGAATGGCTCCGCTATATGCTTGAAATATCATGCTATCTTGCCACGATTGCTACCGCTATATGCTATTGTCTACAAAAATATCGCGATAAGTACAGGAGGGTGTCTACTTCCGAGCCAAACACGACAGCGGACTGATGCGTTTGATTTATTATTAATCTTGTTCTTGTAGTTCCTGTTGATGTTAATTTAAATAAATTGTTAAACCTGTATTAGAAAGGCTCCTTCAAAGAAAGGGTCCTCTAATAGAAGGGCCTTTCGAGAGGAACTTATAATCATTGAACGTCTCCTTTCAGAATGAGTTGTTTGATTTTGGTGAAATTGATAGATTTTGAAAAATATATGAGTCCCCTCTAATTGAAGGACACCTGTAATAAAAGGGCCCTCCGGAGGTACCGTGGACGTCCCTTACAACGCCTCGTACGTGGGTGAAACTTCTGACCCACAAACTGCATTTTACCATATTTTACAGAGAATATGAATTTGATAAACTTATAAAACACTTGGTTTCCATCTATACAAGGCAAGCCATATAGAAAACAGGAAAATCAATGCAAACAGTATATGAAGCAACTCAATGAAACTATCAATGTATATAGAATGTGGAAAGGTACGAAACGATGTTTGTTTTTGCTCCACTGAATCATCTTTGCTCTCCTTTTTCATTATCATACCCCAACCACACATTGACTAGAAATTTCTGTTAGATGCAATATGAAATGTACTGCCAAAACACTAGGAAAATTTCAAAATAATGTGATCATTTTTGGTTTATGGCATCGAATATTATACACTGTCGAGGTAAGACACCTTTTACCTACATTTCGAAATAATCAGGCGTTCCGCTTATCAGTTTTTTGCTTTCTTTTTTTTTCCAGTCTTGAACCGTTATTCTTTTTCCAGAAGAATATCTAACCACATTGATCCTCAATTGTGCAGCATTTCGCGATCGGATTGTTCATTTTTTATCTGCCAATTACAGGTAAGAATTCCAATTTCATCAACTAATTTCGTCAATGAAATTTTACGAGCTTTAAGTTTAACCTATTTTCAGATGCATTGAATCCAAATGAATATGAAGTTCCGATCCCCGTTCTCACAGATTGCCCATTTGCTTCAAGCATGGTGGATTTTTGCGTCTCTGATTTAAATTTTTGTATTAACAACAAGTCCGGTTTCCCAATTTGCTCATCGCAATTTTGTGCTTGCATCAAGGTTAGGGTCCTACTTTTTTCTGGTTGATTTCGTAATATATTTCTAGAAAGAGCTTCCCCAAAACGAGCAGCAGTGTCGGGCAAACATTACAGACACTTGTCGACTTCTGAAATCCAGAAAATCCTCTCACAAGGAAGAATACGCCCCCTTTAAATGGCCAGAGGAAATGGAACCGGTTGTCACCAAAATTCAAGGATCTTGTGGTTCAAATGAACTAGATTCTTTGAAATTGGTGAGAGCGGCATGTGATGATATATCCATATCAGAACTTCAGAGTATTCAAAGTTTGGTTCAACTCATTTTCGATAATCAATGTGTTAAAAACTATAAAACAATGATAGACACTTCATCCATGATTGTTGATAAGAATACAGATATCGGTGTTCCGTTTGATCGATTCAGATGTGGTTGGCAGTACGGAGACATTGGGAAGGTACTAGCTCGGTATTGGATAGGAAATGCTTGTGGACCGTATTCCGGTAAGCCGTCCTCTCTTTCGAAAGTAATTATGACTTGATTTGATTCAGTCAACTTCAACCATTGCTGCGCAAAACACCTCAACTGTTATATTAATAAAGTTGTGAAAGAGCTCTGTGATGAAGAGTATTATCGTTGCAGAACGGTTTGTAAATGCTTCCAAACAAAAGAAAATGAGCAATATATTTTTCAGAGTTTGGTATCCCGTATGGTTAGTCACAAAGAGAGCTGCCGAGCATTAAATGCAGTGAATAACCACGAATTGTTCAATGTGAAACTTTCTGTCTATGAGAGTTTTGGGAACACGAGTAAGTTTCAATAAACATTTAGGGGTGAGAAGAACTGTAATTTTCAGAAATACCCACAGAAATCACTTTATTTGATGGGAACTTAAAGAAATCGTTCTCTGGACCATCAAACTTGAATTTCTCTCTGATAAAAGTTTTCAAACTCAGTTCCGATGAACGACTAGACATCGAAATTGGTGACAGTTTTTACCAAGAAATCTACAAAAATGGATGGTCTAATCGAGGTAGCACCATGTTTTTTCTTACTCCGCATCAATATGATTTTGCAGTTATCATCGATTCCAGCGCTTTGATCTTTGAAGATTGTCGGAAGCATAACAGTATCCTCTTATGCCTGAAACAACTTGTGTTCAGTATTTCTGAAATCGACGGGAAAACGGAAGAATTTGATGTTGCTATTCGTAAATTTAACGAAACAATAGCATCGCGATGTGTCGCTCCGCTGAATAAATCAGAAGTGGTTGAGATGATATCGAAATTGGAAAATGGAAGACTACCGGAATATATCGTTCTATTCATTGTGGAGATCGTAATTGTGCTAATTTTCAATCAGAAGTGTTGGGAAACAATCAAACGAATTTATTATTATTTTTTCTCAAACAAGACTCCAACACAAAATGTGCAAGACCCTGCTGCGATTCCACTTTCTCAACTTGGACCTGTTTCGGAACTAAACGGATCCACCACTTTTTCAGAAGATAGTAATACTGAAATCGTGAATCACCCTGTTCATGAATAGGTTCTTTTTACCCGTATACCGTACCGGTTCATAAGATATACAAAACTTTTTTTCAGAATTTTTGAAAATTCAAACAGAGTTTTTCAGATATTTGCCGAGTTCTGAAAGACGCGTGTTTTTTTCACGGTTTCAGGACAAAAACGGGTCAAAATGAGGTGTTTTCAGAAATCAGAAAATATCTGGAAAACTAGAAATTTTCAAAAAATTATGTGAATGCAAAGTTTTCAATCTAGGTTTGTTTTATAACCTACGAAATTTTCAAACTGATCGGAAATTTCATAACCGAGCTTCAGACTTTTGAAAATGGTCAAAATGGCCGAAAATCAACTGAAAAAAACGTTTTTGTGTATCTTATTGACCGTTACTATATGTTTTGTATGGCTACTGTGTTTACTTATGTCTTGCTACCTCTAATAAGTTCCAGTATTTCGAATACCGAGTGAAATAAAAATTAATGTTCTCCATTTCTTATTCAGTTAAAATGTTCGGATAAAGCCACCTCTCTAATTCTGGTTTCATCACACCAAAACGGATGCCATCAATTGTGTGTATCCTTCCTTCCTTCCACCAAATGCATCCCTTTTACCCCTTCTTTTTCCACCATCCATTTCAGTTTTAATTACGCATCGTCACATTCCATTTGACGGCCACAAGCTCCTCTCTATCCACCAGGCCAATTGTTTGTGAGAAGGGTACTTTCATAAAACGGGTCACTCACACACACGCATGTCAAAATAGTTCATCATTTTATAAAGTCTCTGCTCTGCGAAGATGTTCGTCTGATTAATCGGTGGAGTCATAGGAAGAGAGCAAGAGTCATTTGATCGATGAGTTTCACTATGTTCACCGCAAATGGTTATGTGACATAGATCGAATGGAATCGGAGAACGAGAGAGCACCTGAGAATGTTACGAAATATAAGAAATTAAAAATTAATTAAAAGAAATGCCCGGAATTTCAATTCAAGTACGGGTTGTGAAATATTTTAACTGAATCGCGATATCGGTATTAGAGTCAACTTCCGAAGGAAACAAATAAAATGGTCATGAAATGGAACTCCGTTTTCTACTGCAAAGTAGATTCATTAAATTGTTGGTGACAGATGATATACCGTAGTTCTTTTAATAGAAGCGCACCCGAACCTTCAACTTTGAAAACAATTATCTCAATTTCTGTGAAAGATATCGAAACATGACATCAACTGATAAATTATTTATCCTAATATCACCAACAGTTTATAAGTTGACAATTTTTTTACACAGGAATCGAGAACGATTTTGATGGGCTTCCATTAGAGGAAGACGGTACATATAACATTTCAGAACTGTTGAGCTGTTTCCGGGGCCATCCATTGACAAATACGAACTTTTGAAATATCCCGAACAGAATCTTGGACTCTATACTTTTTCCTAGGTCAAGTTTTCACATGTGTTTTCGTGTCTATCGTGGTGTTTCATTTTTCAACTCGTCCTTTCTCCTCCTCCCATTCTCCCTATCTCTGCCCCATTTTCAGTTTTTGGCGCTACCCGATCCTTCTTCCAATTTCCGTCGAAAATTCAGACTACAACACATACAGCACTCGATGATGCTCTTTCTCCGGGGAGTCAAACCAAGAGCAACACGCACTCTTCGTAGAAAAATGAGTTGTGGTTCTTGTGTCTGACACTGAAAAATATGCAAATGTTGAGACGAAACGAGCTGTCGGACGACGGGCATGGAGAAAGCTAATGAGGAGCCAAGAAAAAAGAAAGAAAAAGTGAACAATAGGAAAAAAAACTCCTTTTTTTGAGACGGAAAGATGTGTCTGTTTGTGTTCACATAGGAGCAATTAGATATGCAACGTAGTCGGAGAACACCTGCCTGACGCCGTTCTGGCGAGAGAGGCCACATAATACGCCCTTTTCGGCTTTGCTTAATTGACCGAGAGAAACAATATGGTGGCAGGAAGGACGCCAGAAAATCGGTTTATGTCCCCAATCGGTGGACACATGGCTCCATGACTGGCTCCAGAGGATTATGAGAAAGAGACTATTAGAAAATAAGAGACTGTCTTCAAATAAGTCTTCAGAAGCAATTAAGTTCATATGATGGGTTTGAGGGTCATATGAAGGTAATTAAGTGATCGGAAAGGCAATTTAACATAAATCTGATTGTGAGGGTCTAATAAACGTTCGGAAGCTTAAAAAATTATTTGTTGATGCCTTCGACAAGGAGGAGTACTCGTTAGAAATTGAGGGATTCGGCTTTTGGACGGATATTTGCCAGGTTCTGGTCAAAAATTGTTCAAAAACGGGTGCATAGCGGACCATTGTCAGATATTGGTCAGAAGGTGAAAGTTGTAATAGTTTGTCGGAGTTTGGTTAGCTAGCGGCGCTATCTGGAATCTGACTAAACTCCGACCAGAACTTGTCGGCGATGCCTGAGATTCCGGAGACGTTGCTGTTGCAGGCGACGCCTGACAACAGCCACAGTGGTTATTTTGGACAACAAGAACCCAATCAATCTAGATTAGTTTTGTTCTGGGTAACATTGGACCTCGGAACCAATATCTAATCCCACTCCTTCCCCTTCATAATACCTGATTATTTTTTCCAAAGGCTCTCACGCTGGCATCTCCCCTTTCCCCCATTTCTATCGCTTCCGGCTCACTATCAATGCGCGAACATTATGTGTGACATAGAAAAGAGACATTCAAATTAGCTGATACACAACCTCCTCACCTTAATTGGCCGCTGGTCAGTTCTTCCTTTTGAACGAGACGCAGAGGGGGTGCCACCCAGTTGGCTCCGCCTTCTTATTCGGACACCGCAGCCCTTTCTCTTCTTTTTCCCTTCTTCCATATCCAACTCACATTCAACTGGCTTCAATGCAATGAAGAGACGATGATGCTTAACAAAATTATGTTTCTTCCGTTTTTTATCACCTCATCATTACTACTAGTCAGTGCTTTGACAGAAGACAAGTATTATTCATCTGAACCTATTTCTGTAGTTTGTAAACCATGTGCAGTTCCATCAAGTAGTTTTGTTATCTGGCTACCAGCTTCTCGACCACCATGTTTGCATCCAGGTCAACCTATAATTCATTGGCCTGATTCCTCTTCTTCTGATATTACTTCTTGTCCTATTCCTGGATTTCCGGACTCTATCCAATCCTCTCAACTCTCACTTCTTGATGATGGTCTACTTTTGACCAAAGAGAGAGTTTGTTTCTTTGATGGACCAATTGACTTTCACTATAATTATGTTTGTGATGGACAAATTTATCAGTCAAAAATGAGGATTGGGCATTCTGTTGCTTCAATGAAGAAACTCGAAATCCGAAGAACAAAAAGATGGGCTCGAAGAAGGAACCCAGACGCAAACGCAGTGCATTTTCAGCAAGAAAAGTGAGTGTTTCTTTGAAAAATTGTGAAACTTGGAAATGAAATCTGAAATTAACTTCCAAAATGTTCAGATACGTAAAAGAGCTGCCAGAAGATACACCAATAGAAACCGTAATTGCATCTGTAAAAGCGTCTCATGCATCTTCCCAACCTCTCTACTACTCCATGGTTGCTCCTCAAGATTCAAGATCTCAAAACTTGTTCACTCTGGATACGGTAAGTTTTTTTTCAACTACTACACTTCCGGAAGTTTTTCTAAAAATCAACTATACTTTTATACTAACAAACTCATGGAACTCTCACTCTATCCCAGAAAAAAGTGCCTAAGGAACTTGAACACAAACACAATTATCTATGAATGCTTTCTAGTAGTTTAGTTCTTTTTCTCAGAGGAAGTGGGACGCGGCTCTCGGTGCTCCTTCTGAAAAATAATACAATTTTTGCAGATGAGTGGAGAGATTCGACTGGCAAAAAGTATGGATCGAGAAGTACTGGATAAGCATATTCTCAAGGTATCGAAATCATCTTTTTCTAAATATTCTGAATATTCTAATTTCAGGTGACAGCCTACGAGAGAGTCGATCCAACGATATCTGCGAGTACTACGGTCGTCGTTCACGTCCTAGATGTCCAAGACAATAGTCCCATTTTCGAAAAGGATTCTTATTTTGGAGAAATCCGCGAAGATGCTCCGGTGAGTCTATTCAATTCCTCTTTTACACCCATTTCCATTTTCATTCATTCATTCACACTCTGCGTATCTCAAGTTCTCCTACTATTTCCTCTATCTCTATTTTCCTAATTCGAACGGAGCTCTTCGGGTCGCTGCCCGTAGCTTCCCCGGTCGAAACAACAGCTTGTAATTAGCGAGTGCTTCCACATAAGAGTAGTAGGGTGCATGTGATTGTGAGAGACGCAGATAATATGCGCGAGAGGATTCACCTGTCAGTGTGTGGAAAAAAGAAGAGAATATGGATACAATAATACAGTGGTACTGTATATTGGATTAGCTACGAAGAAGGGGAGAAAGTGTGAATAAAGAGAAAATGGAACGAAATGAAAAGAATCTAAGAAGTCAAAAATATAAATAAGAAGCTTTAGAATTCAATAGAAGTAGGTGAAAAACATAGAAGGGATCTGGTATTCGGGAATCAAAGATTTGAAATGTAGCTTCAGCACATCTAGATGAAGTATGATTTTTTTTTTTGCACATCCCTTTTTTCGCTTTTCGGTCCTATGCAATTTTGAATTTTGAATTCAGAAACTGATGTAGTTTTCCTGACTCTTGACGTTTTCCATATACTAATTTCTTGGTTTTCTCTGTCAAGTGCCAGTCCGAATTACTCAGTTTTTGGTATAAATTTCCATTCCATTTTCTTTATTTCACCGTTGGGCTCCGCTCCCCTCTAATTTCCCTCGAGACGTGTACTCGTAGTACTCCAAAGTGAGTGACCAGTCCAGAGAAGGCTGACACTCAAAAAAAGAGAAGTGGACCCATAAATCAAATGTACCTCCGACGACCATCATTTCAATTTTACACACCCCATTTCCAAAAGCACGCAACATTGTTCCAGCCGAGAGAGTGTCTAAATCTCTCGACTTATAACACTATCGCATCCGAATGACCATCTGTCATCAGACGACGGCTTCACCCATAGAGAGAGAGCAACCCCCACAAGAGCAGGCAAATTATAAGAGTCCGAAAATGGATGTTTGTCGTCCGTCAGGAAGAAGGACACCAACACCGTGTATGCATGGGTACGGGAGGGAAAGGGAGAGTGTAAAGAATCGAGAGATTTAGAAGTTCACGGGAGTCCGGAGACGGATGAGTCAGTCGAATTGCAAAAGCAGGGTAAATGAATGGAAGAGTTGACTTTAAGGTGGAACGTTTCTACATTTATAGGAGATTAGATGAAGAAGAATTGACTGGCGGAAGTGAACAACTACCGTAAACCTGTAATAGAAGGCCCTCTAACTTTTGAGTCAATTTTTGTCTGTTCCTGTTTAAGGTATGAAAAAGTTGTCAACTGATAAATTTCTTATCATAATATCAGAAATGATTTGTCAGTTTACATATTTTTTATATCTTGAGTAGGAATCGAGATAATTGAGCACTAATTTGACAGTATGGGAGCCCTTGTATTACAGGTTTTACGGTAGGTGCTTTTCTTTAGTTGGATCTGTGGCTTTAACTATGAAACTTCAAAAAGTATTAAAATCATCAGCTCTTGTTTTTCTCTCCAGAATTCGTAAAGTCAAACACTTTCTATCAACAAAAGCGTCAAAAACCCCAAAAACCTCTCTCATTTCCAGAGCTAAACCCGAAAATTTCATCATAGCCATTTCCTACAACATATCGCCTTCTCACACCCAATAATGAGATGAGTCGTGTCTTCCTTCGAATCGTAAAGCGACCGCCGCCACCATTCTCATAGTAGCGGGAGTCCTAGTTGCTCGGAGGACCGAGTCTTCGAATATATAATTAAAGGACGGGGGAAAAGAAGAAGAAGCAGAAGAGAGAATGCGTGTGTAGTACATGATGAACAAGTAAAAGGACACAAATCTGTGATATTGATATAACCAACTCAATACCACTTGAAAATAGAGAAAAGGGGATAAATCTGTCAATTGCATAATTTCTTTAAAGAAAATTAATGAATTATTATTGTCCTTCTTCTTTCAGATTGGTACTACTGTTCTCTCCGTATTTGCAAGAGACTTGGATTCTGAAGAAAATGGAGAAGTCGAGTATTCTCTGGGTGAAGGAAATGGAAAGAATCTGTTGGCCATCAATTCCAAAAGTGGAGTTATTCAAACAGCGGCTCCTTTGGATCGAGAAACTCTCTCTTTGATTCGATTGGATGTGATAGCAAGTGATAAAGGGATTCCAAAGAAAGAATCAAAAGCTCTCGTGGAGATTACTGTACTTGATGTCAATGATAATGCGCCAGTATTTGCATCTGATTCTTACAACATCACCATCTTGGAGAACATCACCCTCCCTACCGTTATAGCAACAGTGAAAGCTACAGATGAAGACTTTGGAACCAATGGAAAAGTTCATTATTCTATGGCTTCATCTTCTGGAATCGGTGGACTTACCATTGATTATTCATCTGGAGAAGTGACTCTTCGAGAAAGAATCGATGCCAAAAACTCCCCAATAACAGCAATAATTCGAGCAAAAGATGGTGCACAACCTGCACTTTCAAGCACTGTTTCACTCACAATCCATGTGGTTGATATCAATGATCATGCTCCTACTCTGATTGCTGCGCAGAAGATGATTACACTTGAAGAGAATGTAGCAATTGGAGAAGAAGTTGGAAGAGTTTATGCCATTGATGAAGATTCTGGACCAAACGGAATCATTAGGTATGATATTGTGTTTGAAGAAAAACCGTAAAATTTGTTTTCCAGATATTCTATTGAAGGATCAGAAGATTTCATCATCGATGAGGATAGCGGTGTTATCAAAACGACTAAACTTCTTGATCGAGAAACGACTGCTAGATACAGTCTGAAGGTGAACTAGAAATCTCGAAAAACAAATTAACAAGTTCATACTTTCAGGTAACTGCTAGAGATATGGGAACTCCTCCTTTGAATACCTCTACTACAATGACAGTGGTTTTGAAAGACATCAATGACAACGCTCCGATATTCGACAAAAAAGAATATAATGTGACGATTTCTGAAGAGATGCCACGTGGAAGTCAGATCATCAAATGGAAAGCAGTGGATAACGACGAGGATCAGAAGATCACTTACCGTATCGAGGAGGCTGACAGAGATGTGTTCAGTATTCTGGATATAGGAGATCAGGGAGCAATTTTAAGTGTATCGGGGCAGTTGAACAAACAAGATCACAAAATAAGAGTGGAAGTATCAGCAACTGATCAAGGAGGTCTACAAGGAAGATGTGTTGTCAATGTCTTTATTGATGATGTTAACTCGGCTCCGTATTTTAATGACCATCCATTTTCGGTGAAAATTCCAGAACATTCTCCGATTGGATATCCTGTTATCAGCATGAAGGTTTGTATTTTGCTAATGGTTTTCGATTTTAATTTCTAAACTTTTTCCAGGCTGAAGA